GGATCATACATTGTTTCTGACTAGCTTTTGTTTTGGCTCGAAGTACACTGTAAGTTTTACGCTTCAGCATACTTGCATGAGTGTGAGTGTTGCCATGATAGCATGCTTACCATGAGGTTATTTGCTTAAGTGCTTAACTGTATGACTGCCTGTGGGTGAATGCGTTGTTGCCTGAATTGGAACAACTCGATGATTGTGAGTTTTAAGCCCACTTTGCGAAGTAGAAAAATCATGTTTTAAGCCCACCTGAGGGTGGCAAATCCGCGCTTTAGCCCACTTGTGAGTGGCACTTTCAAAACATTTTCAAAAACAAACATGAGTTGTTTTGTTCCAAGTCTTGCGACTTAGTCTATACTTGTATGTGTGTGTCATATAGTAAAGTTAGATTAATAACCGGATAAGAACACATGTGTTTATAAAACAACATATCATGTTTAGTAGAGGCCGATCTTTCAATCGGGTGAGTAGGGGTGCTTATTTCAGGACCTTCCTCTCTCGTACCCAAGTTCCCGAGCCGAGGCAACTTTGGTGATGACAGACATGTGGCCTTTGGCATGAGTTAAGGTTTCCTAAATTTCTCAAAAACAAAATATTTAGGTGGCGACTCTGTAATATGGTAAAGTAGTCCATGTTTAGCGCTTTTTAATTTAAAATCGATTTTCCAAAACCAATTGCCAGATTTGGACTCTTTGGTGTTTATCAGTCTTACATTGCACTTTGTGAGATTAGATTCAGAACTATGACAGGAGTCTGAACTGTAGTAAGACCAATTCGGGCCTCTCCGAAAGGGGGGCGCACAAAGAAAGTCGGGTTTACATCATCTAGTACTCCAAGCCAAAAAAGATAAATGAGTTAGAAAAATGAATAATTCCTAATGCAACACATGCAACATGCAATTTACTAGGCTCGGCTACTAATATGGCAAATGAATCAATTTGATAGCATGCGATCTAAGCATGAATTCAAAGAAACACTAAACTAACAATGCAAGTTAGAATGATGAACCGAGCCTCGGTGCATGCAAAAAAAGTGGATACAAACATGGAGAATGCTAAATAAAACATGATGTCCCTAAACTAACCATCATAAGCTAGTAAATAAAAGGGAGAAAGAAGTGGGTTAGAAGACATACACATTATTACAACGTTGCGCCCTTACGAAGGAGAGCCTGAATAAATTAACTAACTAATTAGTTACCTAGCTATTACAACAACAAATGAATAAGAATAATTAGCTAAACTACTTAACTAATTGTTACAAACCGAATTAATTAACTATTCTAGCTAACTAATTATTACAAGACAAAATTGGCTAAGTAATTAATTACAAAACGAAGTAACCAAATTAACTACTCTAATTGCTCCTCCTCAGGAAACGAGGAATGCTTATGCATACACGGACTTGCCACTCGAAAAAACCACTGTTTCTGCGGCTGAATGCCTCTGTTACACAGTAAAACACTTACACTGATTTCCATCTCCAGACCAACTCTATTTTGCTTGGAGAGTACACTGCTAGATTTTGCATTGGTGACCGACAAAGGGCCTGTCGTCCACTGATGTTGGCCTACCGGCCACTGCTAATAGGGTTGTCCTGCTGCAATAGAGAGCAAATAGGGCAGAGAAAGTGTATTCTCAAGGGTTTGTTTGTATAATTTACCCCTCCTTATCATTTGAACAGCTCAAAGGAGTAGTAAGTTTGATTCACAAACCACCAGTGGATGCAATTTCATTGTATGATGGCTTATGAATCAAGTGTGCAAGTTCAATGAATGCAACAAAACAAGACTCTCAAAACTACCTCCCTATCATGAAAGATCAAAGGAATTAGTTGACAATGAATCTTGAACCGTTTTTATCACTAATGAGTATGAAATGACTCAAGACTCAAGGGTTCAATTAACGTCTGATTGAACCCAAACGAAATTATTATCTTGTTCTTTTTAATCACCAATTTTATTACTCCATCTTAGATTACCATCCATTCTTTAATCAATTGAGTCCAAAGGTGAATTTAAGTCCTCTAATGGAAAGAGGGCTCAAACAAAGTGTTGCTTTGGGCATGAAAGAGACATCATACCGTTGGTAATGAACCCCCAAAGGGATTAAACCATTAAGTATGACATCTCAATCTCATGCTTAAACAAACAAGTAGTTTGAAACCACTTTCAAAGCAAAACAAAAGCTAAGAAATGAGGAAGGTTGCAAAGGTGATTAAGAGTGATCACAACTATGGAAAGCCATAAATAAACACTATCAACTCAAATAAGATAGTGTCTAAGGCTTAAAACACCAAACTTATGAGGACAATTACACTATGAGCATGAAAAGCAAAGCTCAAATACAAAAAACACTTAAAAATAGTCTTAAAATAGTCCTAAATAAGTCCTAAAACATGCTGGAATTAAAACAAAAATAGCTAGATTAATAAGCTAAAACAAGGATCATGCTAGGCTAGTAAGTAAAACACAAGGAAGAGAGGCTAACTCCTCCAATTTTGGACTTCAAATCGTGATTTTAGCCACTGAAATAACTCTGAAAATCAGTATTTAAAAGATCAAAAAAAGATAGCGTAAAGGTGGGAAACACAAGGGTAAAGGCCTCGAGAGCAATGTATAAAGAAAGGTGAATCACCCCTCAACCTTTATTGGCGTTAAAACCCAAGTTTCAACCAAAAAATACAAAGTTTTTATAGCCTAAAAATAGTTGGAAAATAGCAAGAACAAGAGTAGATACAACAAGTATAGAGACAAAGCTTTATACCTCTTGAAGAGGAGATCACTTCTAGGCAATAAAACAAGGCAAACATACCCTCAAGAGCTCAAACAAGGCTCAAAGTTACCTCAATTCAAAAATGGAGAGGTTTGGTTAAGAGTGTATAGGCAAAGGTTAAGAAATTTGCAAGAGAGAGAGAGAGAAGAAAAATTTTGCTCGAAAATTTTTCTAACCCTAAAGCAAAAGGAGAGGCCCTCTATATATAGAGAAACATGAACCTCCTTCAAAAACATCCAGCCATACACGTGGGAGTAGATGCAAGCATCTGTGGAAACAGCTGGCACAACTGTCACATAATATCTGCAAACACATTAGTTGCCAGCCGGCCATCACTAGTGGCCGGCAGGCCACATCAGTGACCGACAACCAAGAGCAATGGCCAGCAGCCCATAGCATTGGCCGGCAGGCCACCAAAGGTTGCAGGCTTGAAGATCACTAGGTTTGGTCTAAAATAAGGCAACAATGGTGCAAGGTTTGGAAGGCTCAAAGTTGTGGCATTCTGCTAAGGACTTCGAGCACTTGACAAGCATATGCACTCATCATCGGGTGTGCAAGTAATGACGTCTAAGTCGTAAGGGCCGTCAAAAATGGGGTGTCTACAGTAACCTCTCATTTGCCTTAATTGCAGGCACCTTAATCATGTTCGAACCATTGATGGCTAAGGTAAAGGATGACATGATTACACAGAAATTAAACAAATTTTTTCTCTAAATCCACTTGAAGATTTCTTATCTCTGCATATCATCTTTGTCACTTTTTATACACTTCACCGATCCAATACTTGATGCATATCTGCTCAAACCTCTTGTTTGTCAACCTTTTGGGCATCGCTGCTGTAAGAACCTGAATTTTTGGACAACTAATTAGTTTGTTAATAACAATAGTAAGTCAATTAATAGTTATTATTAAATTATTAAATTATAATGTTAATAGCATCATGATTAATACTAATATTAAGTTCCTTTGAATAAATTTATTTATCTTTTTGTGATTATATTTCTGTATCTAAATACAGTTGTGGAAACTAAATAAGTTAAATAAATAGTAACTAAATTAATCAAAGGATAGTAAAGAGCACAATATCTAGTGACTAGGTTATATATATACATTGATTTTTATTTTTTGTACACACACTCAAAAAAAAAAATGAAATCATACTTTTTTGGGGGCAGAGGAATTTGGCCACCCTTTGTTCCTAAGGAAGGAGGCTGCTGAGAGCAAGCATGCTAAGGCATGCATACAACCACACCCTAAGCCTATACATGCAGGTAATGTTTCCCAAGCCAAGAGGAAAAATAAAATAAAATAAAAATAGGCCTCCAAACTCCTACAAATAGAACACTATTTTAGCCCTTTTCATTTTTATGCACACGGCTGAGGAAAAAGAAAAAGAGAGGAGAAAAGAAAAGAAAAAGAGAGGAAAAGGGGATGGTGCTTGGTGGTCACCATTTCAAAACTAATCTTGAGAATAGTTTGTAAAAGCTCTTGAGGTAGGAATACTCAACCTCTATCCTTCCTCAGATATTTTTTTTTTTTACTGAATCTATATATTAAAAGTATGCAAGAGTGTGTATTGTTAATACACACATAGCAAGAACAACTCAATGCATGTTTATATTTTGATAGAATAATAATTTTATGATTGTATGATTTATATTCCTTCTTGCAAGTATAGATTAGATGGTTTAGCTACTGATTTTATCTTCTTATGTGTTCAAATTGTAAGTATTTCTAAATAATCTATATATTCAACTTGTATCAATTACATCAAGACCGTAGTTTATATAACCATAACGCCTAAACCAAGAAGGAAATACAGACTCACGCACACAATCACGCCTACACAATCATGTCTAATATATATATATACACAATCATCCCTAATATGTACACAATCATGCCTATATACGATTATATTCTCATACCCCTGCTCAAACTTAAGGGGTTTTAGCAAAAACAAAGAGAGTTTGTCAAGAGAAATCGAAAACGAATAGTGGTGTGAATCTTGGTGAAGAAGTCAGCAAGCTGTAGAACCAAAGATACAAAAGAAAGTAGGATAGAACCAGACTAGAGGTGCTGAGGGACAAAGTGACAATCAATCTCAATGTGCCTCATGCGTTCATGGAAAACAATGTTGTGGGCAATTTGAATAGCACTGCGATTGTCACAGTAGAGAGAGGTCGAAGAGGACTGAGGAACACCCAAGGAAGAGAGGAGAGAACAAAGCTAGACAACCTCAGCAGTAGCATGAACCATAGCATGGTACTCAGCTTGGGCAGTAGAACGAGCAACAATAGTTTGTTTCTTACTTTTCCAAGAAATCAAGGAATCACCAAGAAATAGACAGCAACCAGAAGTGGACTTATAATCACTAAGATCACCAGCACAATCAGTATCAGCATAAGCGACCAACTCTAAGGAAGAAGTACAAGACAATAACAAGCCTTGGAAAATAGTACCGTGGAGATAGTAAAGAATTCGAACCAAAGCAACCCAATGCGAAGAGCGAGGAGTATAAACAAATTGGCTAACCACATGAACAACATAGGCAAAATCAGGATGAGTAACGATCAGATAGACTAAGCAGCCTACAAGCTCGCGATACAAAGTAGGATCATCCAGCGGGACACCATCAGTAGTGTTAAGATTCACATTAAGCTCAATGGTGGTATCTGAACTTTTAGTGTTAGTAAGACTGACACGGTGAATAACCTCATTGGCATACTTGGCCTAAGACAGAAAGTAATCATTGGGAGAAGAAGCTACCTCAATACCAAGAAAATACCACAAGGGTCCCAGATCCTTCATTTTGAAAGTGCGGAAGAGATGCTGCTTGACCTCAGAGATAGCAAAAGTGTTAGAGCCAATAATGATCATATCATCTACATACAGTAAATAAGGCAACAAAACCAGCAGAGGTGTGGAGGAGAAACAAGGTAGAGACTTGGTCACACAGATGAAACCCAAGCTCAGTAACAGCTGTCTGAAAGCGATCATACCATGCACAAGGAGATTGCTTCAAACCATACAGAGCACATCGAAGGCAACAAACAAGTCCAAAGAAACGAGAAAGACTAGTGGGAGGATGTGTAGACTGCCCAAACTTCCTCCGCGCGCCCCCCAATTGGAGAAGGCGCGAATTGGGTTCTAGCTACTACAATTCGGACTCCTATCACGGTTCTGAATCTAATCTTACAAAGTGCAATGTAAGACTGATAAATCACCAAAGAGTCCAAATCTGGAAAATCGTTTTGGAAAATCGATTTTAATCAAAAGCGCCAAACATGGGCTGCTTTGCCAGATTTCAGAGTCGCCACCTAAATATTTTGTTTTGAGAAATTTAGGAAACCCTGACTCATGCCTAAGGCCACGTATCCGTCATCACCAAAGTTGCCTTGGCTCGAGAACTTGGGTACGAGAGGGGAAGGTCTTGAAATGAGCACCCCCGCTCGCCCGATCAAAGATCGGCCTCTACTATTCATGATAGGTTGTTTTGGAAACACATGTATTCTTATTCCGGTTGTTTAGCCAACTTACTACGTGATGCGCACAGCATACAAGTATAGACTAAATCGCCTAAATTGGAACAAAACAATTCAATGTTTGTTTTCAAAAATGGTTTGAATTTGTCACCCTTAAGTGGGCTTAGAAATGCAGACTTGCCATAAAACAATGTGGGCTTAAAACATGATTATTTGCCACTCCAAGTGGGCTTAAAACTCACATTTTGATGAATTGTTCCAATTCAAGTAATGAAGCCTTCATCCACAGGCATTCATGCAGTTATAGCAATTAAGTAAATAGCCTCATGGCAAGCATGCAATCATAGCAGTCACTTAGATACATGTAAGGATGCTAAAGCATAAACACTTACAATGTACTCCGTGCCAAAACAGAAAACTAGTTAGAAATCATGCATGACCCTAACTATATAAGATGCCTAATGCAACACATGCACAATGCAACTAAATAGGCTAGGCTATCTAAGATGGCATATGAGTTGCAACACTTGATAACATGCTTTGAAACACGTATTCAAGAAAGTGTATTGAAATACAATCTAGTTTATATGATGCACTGAGCCCGGTGCATACAAGACAAAGAAATGATGCACGCATGCAAAGCATAAGTATGCTAATTGAAACATGCCTAATCTAACCACTGAAAGTAGGTAAATAAAAAGGAGAAAAAAATGGGGTTGGAAAACATGCACACATATACGCACCCTTATTACAACATTTGCCCTCTCGACGGAGGGTCCGAATAATAGGCTAAGTATGCTAAGCTACTTATTACAAAACAACTAATTAACTAACTATTCTAGCTAATTAATTACAACACATGATTTGAAATTAACTAACTATTCTAAGTTAGCTAAATATTACAAATTGAATTAATTAGCTAAACACGTTCACTAACTAATAAATCAATTAAACGGCCTCGAAGGATGAGGGATGTATGCATGCTCGGTTGTTTCTTCCCGAAAATCCATCGCATTGCCACCGGTTGCCTCTGTTTGCATTCGCCTTGATTCCTGAACACCGAACCAATCTCCAGGTTGTTTCTACTCTAGAATCAGAACAACTTTGAACCACCTTCAAGCTGGTGGACTGTCAGCCACCAGGGGAAGCTGTAGGCCACTTAAAGTGGCCGGTCAACCACTTCCTATGGTCGGCTGGCTACTTGCCCTAGCCGGTCAGCCACTTGCTTCTGCACACTCCAATTTTGCTGCAAACAGAGTACAAAAGGGGCAAAGCAAGACATTTGCAGGGTATGTGTGTACAACCACCTTCCTTATCATTCTCAAGCTCAAAGGAGTATGGTACTCAACTCTCAGGCCACCAACCGAGCATCACAATGCACGATGGCCGAGAAGCCAAGTGTGTACAAGTCAATGAATGCACAAATAGACTCGATGAAACTTTCACCCTATCATGTACGATCAAGGTTGTCAATAACTAAGAAATAAGGCACGTTTCATCACTTCAAGTATGAAACATCTCTCATTTCTTGTGTTTGGATTAACGTCTGATCCAAACATATGCAATGCAACACAAACATGTTGTCTTGGCATGTTTTACTTTGATTCATTTTGTTTACTCGTTTTAGATTGCCGATTGATCCTTTAACCGGTTAACTCCAAAAGTGAAAAGTCCTTTAAATGGAAAGACGGACCAAGCCACAAGCTTCTTGAGCATGAAAGAAGCATCATGTCGTTGGTTAGTAGAAACCCTTAAGAGACGGCTAAAACCATTAGGCATGAACGCCTCAATTTCGTGCTCAAACCAACAAATGGCTTAAGACCACTTTCGAAAGTGATATAACAATGAAAGGTGGAATGCAATGGCACATATTCCAGCACTAAAATAGGATGCTAAATGACATCAAAGCATAAAAATGATGCATGCAAAGCATACTCAGTGTAATAACCCTCACCACTGCTTACCGATAAACATTGATTACCGTCAAACTGAACTGATTATGACTGATAATTGAACTGATTAAAGTACTGAACTGACTGACTGAAAACTGGAACTGAATTGACTGAGTATGTATGTTAATCTGTATTCTATCTGTTTGACTGTTTGACTATCTGTTCATGTTTTCGTGTTTAACCTGCTAATTGAAGGCCTTATCGGCGGCCGAATCCGAAATTGATTAGTGTGCCTTAATCAGTAGAATTAATGTGAATTTATGGTATATTTATCTGAAATTTGATTTAGTATGATTATATTAGATTAAATATTGATGGATTGCAAGTTTTGGACTTAATTACCATTAGACCACTTAGTGGCCACTATTTCACACATGTTGAGCCTTGTATACACTTAAATCAAAACATTTCACCAGCTCTTGCATTGCTTAGCCGACGAAGAGAGAGTGAGAGAAATTGGATTCCATCTTGAGTTTTGCTTGCTAATTGAAGCATAGGTTGCTAATTTGAGCTTCTAGTCTTGCATTGAAGACCTAAGGTAGAGTAACTACCCTTTTGTTCTTGAGTTTAAGTGATTCTTGCATGATTTATAGCAAATTGTAGCCTTGAGCCAAGTTATGGCTCTTACATGTTGAATTGAAGCTCATTCCTTGCATGCATGTTAGTATTGTTGGATTTTGAGTTGAGTTCATGGCAAATTGTCACATGCATGTCCATGTTTTGAGTGTAGGCCATGTTTTCATCATGTTTGTGAATCAATTGGCTCATTAGAGCATGTTTTCAAGCTTGGAAGTTATTTAAAGATCATACATGTCATGTTTGAGGATTGTTCTTGAAAAATGGTTTGAAATTGGATTTAAATTAAACACCCTTGGGCTTTGATTTCCCAAATTGAGTTTTGAATCATGTTTAACTATGAGTTTTTAAGAGTTTTCCAGAAAAATGGGCCCAAGAGGATCGAAAATTATGCTTTTGAACTTGGTTTGAACTTGGAGGTGCAATCTGGGTTTTCCAGATTCTGCACTTCTGCTCGAGCGGGGGCTAGTGACGCTCGAGCGGGGAATCCGAGCATCCAGTATCTCTGCACTGTTTTACAGTCCGCTCGAGCGGAGGATTGGGCACTCGAGCGGAGTCATGTGTTTCAAGCTCGAGCGGGCGTCGAGCGTCCGTCGAGCAGAGATTTCACCCATCCAGTACTTTTACAGTACGCTCGAGCGGGGTATTTGACGCTCGAGCGTGTACCTTTGTTGCATGACCGCTTGAGCGGGGAAACCTGAGCTCGAGCGGGACTCTGTTTTTCTGAAAACTCCTGAAACTGTTTTCTGATCACATCTTTGCATCCTCATCTCATCCTAGGCATTCTTAGGCCTAGTTTAAGCATCTTAATGAGGACATAGATGTAGAACACACCGAGGCAAATTAGGGATTAAATTATTATCTTTCCCAACTGTGTAGCTTAGTGTGTTCAATCTGTTAACTGTGTAGGGTTGGCGACTGGGGAGACACGCTCTAGCATACTGTAGCCCAAACTCTGTGAGTAACGATTGTGTAAAGATATGTTCACAAATGATTATCTTCTGAACAACTGAACTGTACTCTTTTCTGAACTAATTACTGTTAACTGAATGAATGTATGTCCTATATTCTGAACTGTATTGTGGCATCCCTAGCACCTACTGTTTACTGTTACTGTGACAGAATTCTCTGTCGGTTCCCTTGTTGGAACCACTACTGTTACTGACTGATGGCCATCATTTACTGCTCGGTCTTTTAAGACCTACTGTTTACTGTACTGTTATGCTAATGGATGTACCACATATGACTGTACTGACTGAACGACTGAAATACTGATTTAATGAACAGTTTTCATACTGTAAGGACATTCATTCTTAACCCCTTTATGCATTATGTTATTCACTGGGCTTTAGCTCACTGCTCATATATAAATGTAGGTGTACAGGCACCAGACCGCGGCTAGGAGCGTCAGGGTTACTCCAGTTTTGTCAAGCCAACTACCGTGCCTCACTGCGAGGTTCCAAGCCTATCATGCTAAGGCTTAGGGGTGTTTTAGGACTCCCCCTTCTGCACTGTCTTGCTATTTTGTTAACCGAATGGATTGTATAGACTGAATGTTTACTGTACCGTTATATAGGGATTGAGTCCCTATTCTGAATGATTGTATATATATTATGTATACCTTTCTATTGAATGTAAATATGTTTGGAAAGTCTTTTTGCATGCAGACTGTCACAGCTCATTGGGCATTGTTTCTTTATTGTTTTGGCTTCTGCCAGGC